TTCCTGTTCCGTTTATAGACTTGACAACAAATGGTTGGATCTAGAAAGCTTTAAAGATTTAGTCACTAACACATGGAAAAACACTCATGTTCAGGATTCCATCATTTACAGAATTGTTGTCAAGCTAAAATCCCTCAAGCAAGAAATTAAAAATTGGGCCAAAGATATGGGCAGAAAAGAGGAAGAGTGCATAATTGATCTTATTTCTGAAATTGATATCCTGGTTAGGAAAGAAGAAAATGGTAATCTAATTTCTTGGAAAGGGAGAGGAAATGTCACTTGAAAGCTAATTAAGCCAAGAAACTACAAATGGAAGCCACCTCCTGGAAACAAAAATCAATAGAAAAGTGGCTCAAATATGGAGATAAAAACTCCAAATACTTTCATATGTTAGCTGATAACATAAGAAGAGTGAACTATGTTGAAGAACTTAGTATGGATGGCAAGCGCATCAAGGGTAATGAGGCTCTTAGAGACGGGGCAAAAGAGCATTTTCAGAAACTGTATAAAGAGAGCACCAATTACAGGCTCAAACTCGGCAACCTCTTTTTCAACTGTCTTGATGAGGTTCAAAAAAATCTACTGGAGGAATCTTTTGAGGAAGAGATCTGCTGTTGTTTGAAAAATCACGATGAGGATAAAACCCCGAGTCCGGATGAATTCAACATCAAATTTTTACAAACTTTTTGGGAGGTCATTAAGCCTAACATTCTTGATTTCTTTAAGATTTTCATGCTCATGGTAAATTTGTTCGCTCTCTCAACTCAACCTTTCTGTATGATTCCAAAAAAAGCTCACCAAAATATCAATGATTATCTTCTTATTAGTCTCATTGGTTGCATTTACAAACTGTTATCGAAAGTGTTGGCTAATAAACTTACGAGTTCTGAAATATATAATCAATAATTCTAAAAACACGTTTTTAATGGGAGACAGATTACTAATGTCATCATTATTGCTAACGAGCTTGTGGATGAAACCATTCGACATAATAAGAAAGGTATCTTACGAAAACTTGACATGGAAAAGGCTTTCGATCATGTTAACTGGAATTTCCTAGATTATTTGTTGCAAAGAATGGGTTTTGGCAATAAATGGAGAAATTGGATCAAATCTTGTGTCGCTACAACCAGCCTTACCGTATTAGTGAATGTTGGGTCTTCCTCTTTTTTCACGGCTACTAGAGGGTTGAGACAAGGGGATCCACTCTCTCCCTTTTTATTTATGATTGTAATGGAGGCTTTGCATCAACTATTAGAGAGCTAAAAACATTCAGCTTATTAACGGAGTCTCGGTGGGAAACAACACAAGACACATTAAAATTTCTCACCTTTTCTTTGCGGACAACACTCCTATTCTGTCAACCTAACACAAGTCATTTAATATTTCTCAAATGCATTCTGATTTGCTTCCAAACTGTGTCAGGATTAAAAATTAATCTTTGCAAATCAGAATTAGTTGACCTAGGCTGTTGCAACACTGGATATACATTCTGTGATATTCTTAGCTGCAAAAAATCGACCATTCCCATTACCTACCTGGGTGTACCTTTGGGAACCAAGAAAAATGACAAAAGATGCTGGGAACCGGTAATTGAAATGTTCAACAGCAGATTAGCCACTTGGAAGAGGAAATTTTTGTCTAAAGGAGGTAGATTAACATTTATAAAGAGCACTCTCTCTAATATGCCTATTTATTACCTATCTGTTATTAATATTCCCACAAATGTTGCCAAAAAATTGGAAGTCATCCAATGCAATTTTTTATGGGGTGACAATGAAAACAATAAGAAATATCATCTGGTTAAGTGGTCAGATGTTAAAAAACCCTTGAAGGAAGGTGGCTTGGGGCTAAGATCCCTGACTAAATTAAACAAGGTCTTGCCTGGGAAATGGATTTGGAAAATTTGGAACAACAACAGTTTATGGAAATTGGATATCAACTGTAAATGGTTTAAAGACAATCCTCATGATCTTTCCCACATTCAGAACAGCAACTATCGTATTAGCATGCAGAAGAACATAATTAATTTGAAAGACGTTTTTCTTTGTTGTAAGTGATCTACCGGGAATGGTCAAAAATTTTGTTTTTGGGATGATATTTGGTGCGGAACTGAAAAATTCAAAGACAGATTTCCTCACACCTACGGTATCGCTAAGAACAAGTATGCATCTGTTTGGGAAGCTATTGGTTCGGCCTGCCAAGTTTCTTGGAATGTCCTGGTCACGAGAAATCTTCATGATTGGGAGCTGGAAGATTATGAATCCCTACTTCTTACTTTGGCCGACATTACTCTCATTAATAGGGATGACAGGTTAACTTGAAACCTCAAAAAGAATGAATTATTTTCTGTCAAGTCCCTGTATTACTTCCTAGACGGTCAAAAACAGAACATTCAAAGAAATTTTCCATCCACGATTATTTGGAAATGTGGTGCTCCTCCAATGATATCATTCTTTGCTTGGGGGGCTGAAAAGAGTAAGATACTCACTCTTGATAATTTGATGAAAAGAGGTCACACAATTGTTAATAGATGTTTTCTATGTAAGGAAGACTTGGAAACTTGTAATCACATTCTTTTGAATTGCCTCACTACCCGAAATCTCTGGAACATGATCCTGGAGTTGTTTGCGGTCTCTTGGGTATTCTCCAGAAATGTCAACTCAGAATTGATGGCTTGGGAGGGCATTGGCAGCAGCAATAAATTCATCATACTCATTCCTCTTACTATATTTTGGGTCATCTGAAAGGAAAGAAACAAACAGGCTTCCGATGAAGTCGAATCTGATTTTAACATCATCAAGAAAAACTGGTTTAACTATTTTGGCTCTTATATTTCAGGGTATAACCTTGGTTGTTTTGACGATTTAGATATTATTGTAAATATGCTAATTGAGATGTAAATTCTATACATGGGGGGTGCTCCCTCATCAAATTTCATGTGTTGATACCCCTCAAACAAAATAAGATGGTTGAAAGGAAAAATAGACATTTCTTGAAAGTTGCCCGATCTCATGTTCACAACTCAATTTTAAAATTTTTCTGGAGAGAAACTATTCTAAATACAACTTATCTCATTAATAGAATGTCTTTTAGGTCCTTGAGTTTCAAATCCTCTACTAAGTTATGCTTTAATATTTTCCTACCACTCAACTTCTATCTACCCTACCCATCAAAGTCTTTGCTTGTTCAACTTTGTTCACAATCACAATCACAGAAGCTAACTAAACCACACAAAATGAAATGCATCTTTGTTGGGTATTCATCAAACCAAGGTATATGAGTGCTATTCACCAGTCATTCAAAAGTTTTATAACTCCATGGATGTCACTTTTCATGAGAACCAAAGATACTACAAGTTAGTATTCAAAGAGGAGAATAATACAAAAGAATCCCAATTTTGAGACTCTACCACTGAATGTCTTCATCATCCTCCAACTAAACATATTCAATCTCCATAACATATAGATCGAGATGAGATACCTCAACCTAAAGCTACTCGCCACATTGAAAAACCTAAACTTCAAGTCTACACTAGAAGGAACAGGAACGAATGAGAGAAAGAGCCACAACCACCTAATCAGAGTCATGAACCCAATCTGAATAACTAAATATTTCAGTTAATCCAACTTTCGATCTCTCCCTTGATAATATCTATGATGATAGACCTATTGTTTTAAGAAAACAAAAAAGAGCATGCACTAATCAACAATTCACAATTTTGCTTCATACAAAGATCTATCATCAACTCGCTAGGCATTTACTAACAATATTGATAAAACACATACCAAGAACAAAATATAAAGGATTAAAAGTATTCAAATGAAAAACTGCAATCATCGAGGAAATCCAAGTCTTAGAAAAGAATGAGACTTGGGAAATAATAGAATTACCACTTATGAAATACATATTCGGCTGTAAATGAGTGCTCACAATCAGACATAATATTGATGATAGTGTCAACAGGTTTAAAACTTGATAAGTAGTCAAAGACTTTACTTAATCCTGTAGAAATCCACTATGATTCTGCTTTATAAAGAGATTTCCCTAAAGATATCAATTTGTACAAATTAGAGTTCTACAAGAAGTCGGATTCCTATAGTGGGCATGGCAGAACTCATGACAGTACCATTCCCATACACCTACTGCCATTTCCAGGCCTAAACTCATGCTATGAATGCAAAAATGTCGTTGATTACAAGAGCTTATTAGCAGGGGCTGACATTTAATTGAGTTCTACGATTTCAACTAGACAAAGTTGAGCTTTTCCCCAATCAGGAGAAATAATGGGGCACCACAATTATAGCACATTTTATTATTTTCAATTTTCTATTTATAGTCATATTTTTTCATTAAAAAAAAGAATTTTTTAGTACTTTTTTTCCAGATACTGTAAAGCTTTATGGAGTAATATTCTTATTTTCTTGCTCTATCTGGAGTAGTATTACATGTGAGGCTATTAATACCCATGTGATCGCTCTCTTTCTTGTTCAATACAATTATTTAGTTATTTCCAAAAAATACAATTATTTAGAAAATTCTCTCAATAGCTTAGGGTTGTGAAATGCAATCAATTCCAAAGCATAATATATAAGAAACCCAAGTGTAATATCTAAGTTTAATTCTACTCCAAAAGAGACAGATTGTCCCTAAATTAGTTCTAGGTTATAACCAAACATGTTATAGTGAGTGCTTGATTGGCCTTTATCTATGGTTAGACCATAATTTGGCCAGAAAAGCCATTGAGTGGTTAGATGAACATTCCAGCACAAAATCACAAAGATTAAAGCTGATAATTGCTTGCCTTCCACGCACATCAAACAAAATATAACAAAAGCAAGAATGCAACAAAGAAAACTGATATATATATATATACATATGGAAACAAAGGAAGGCAAGAACACAAACAAGAACTGAGTCTGATTTTTGAACACATTTAATAAAACTAGAGAAATAAAATATATTAAATGAAATTTTACAAGAAAGAGGAAATTACATACCTATGCCCAGCATGCTGAAAAAACAAGCCAGGGGGAGTACTTGGAGCTCTCGCTGGACGCTCCACCTTTTTAACAACCTGCAGTATTAACATTCTTTAGAATAAATAGTTTCCACTAACATTCAAATACATTACTACATACAGCATATAAGCACTTTAGTTGTAACTCCAAAGAGCTGCAATCGAGTAAACTTCTTATGTTAGAATATATCCAGGTAGAATATCGGGAGGATTTCAAACCTAAGCGTGGAAATGAGCCAAGCCAACTTCGGTACTTGAGTTTAACTGATGCTTGGCACAAGGCTCAATTTTATTCATTTTGTAGACTTGAGCTAAACTCCTTTAAGAAATATAGAGTTTGACCTCAGTTTAAGAAAAGCTCGGCAAAACGTCAAGCCTGAATATGGTCAAACTCAAACTCAAACTCAAATAAGCTTAAACTACATAAAGTCCAGCTGTATTTGCTCAATAAAAGTCCACTAATTTTATTTTATTTAAACTTTAAAATACATTATATATATACATATTTTCTTTGAAATAAAAAATATAAACAGTGAATAATGCTATGGCACCAAAGGGGCACCCATGTACAAAAGATATTTACATATCAGTAAAATTATTTATGAGATATCCAATATTCTCCTCCCTATACATGTCATGCCCCAAAAAATAGAGCCAACGTAATAAAGCTATTTATAGCTAATCTTTCCCATATCAATCTCCACCCCTTCAAAAACTCTTCTATTTCTCTCTTTCCACACCACCCAAAGTACAGCTAAAAGAATTAATTTTATACATTTCTTCTTTAAAATATATTATATATTAAAGTATACTTAATAATTTACATGTAAACATCACATTTGGTTTGATTATATTGCACAATCAGAAAATTTCAGATCATTTTCACATCATTTTCGATTTTGTTGGCTCAACGAGTCTAGTTACAATGTTTTTTCATGTTGTGAACGTAAATATGCATATGGTTATATATATGTATATATATATACACACATGTTTCTCTATAGCACGTTGTTCAACTCTAAGAAAATCAACAGTTTGGTGGGTAGGCTGGAAAAAAGCAAATCCATCTAAAACTCCACTACTTTCTAACACAAACATTATGGCCTAGCTGATTCTTGGATTTGGAAATTCTGGGTCTTTCAATTAGTTTTTAAAAACTTAATAGAAAAAGCATTGAACGTTGAATCCATTCACATTTGGTTGATTGGAGCCTTAAAAACTGAAATATAGGGGAGCCCACTGAAAATGTTTGAAAGTTGAGGAAAATGAACTATCCAAAAGAAAGTGTGAGAAATTAAGGGGAAACAAAGTGAAAAGACAGCGCCTCAATATATGATTTGCGGATGCAACTCCTCCTGTGGCATCTGCTCATTTATCTCCCTCCCTTGAGGATCTACATGCATCAATGCCGACTGCTCTGAAAGAGATCTTGGTGGATTTCACCAAGGCCATCAAAAAGATGATTTTGTTTTACAGGGAGAGAAGAGATCTCAGTAGATCTCCAGTTTATAGATTTTATTATTAATTTTAGTAAATAAAAAAAAAAATCATTTAAAGAGAAAAAGCAGGAAGACAGAGAAGAAGAAAACAAAACAAGGCTTAATGGATTTTTGCTTTTTCTATTAAAATTGGACGGAGTTAGTGTTTTGAAAAAAATAAAAAAGTTTGAGAACTATTTTGTAAGGAACAGTAAGAACTAAAATGAAAAATGAGTCAAAATCCGGAGACTAAATTGATAACTTACCCTATGATTAATAATCAATTAACTTTAGGTTTTGATCCCAGGATGGTGCACATGTTAACAATGTAATTTGACATTAGATCCACATGCAAAGACAAGTATGTACATTATCCAGCTCAAAACATGTAAATACTTACTCACCTTCTCATAATCCCAAATGTTCAAGAGACCATCCTCAGCAGAACTTCCAAATACCGATGACCTATCTGGCGACCACTGGATGATTAACGAGCAGATGAAGTTAGCAAAAACAGATACTGAAAAGTAATCCTTACTACTAAAAACATCTATATACTTGGCGGATACACAGAGACTAATTCGCACCTGAACACAAAGAACAGCAGCTTTGTGACCCTCAAACTTATATACAGGCGATCCAACACCATTAGAAGTGAGATTCCGTCGATCAAACATACGGACAGAATTATCAGCTGAGCTGGAGTGGCAAAAATACATAGAACCCTTTAAAAGTTCAATTTTTTTGCATTAATCAAAACAAGAAGCCTATAATAGACAACCCAAATAGGAAGGTGAAGGACAAAGAGATAATAGAATTACCCTGTTAAAATAAGATTGTCATCATGGGGATTCCAATCAACACAGTGAAGATCAGCATTATGTGCCTTTTCAACCTGCCAACAAGAAACAAAGAGACCACATAGTTTTAAAAAAAAGGGAAATAAACACATGTTTAATCTGAAAAGTATCATCCGAAGATAAATAAAGGTCACTAGATCAACAATTAACATACATACCTTAATAGCAGGGCTAGTGCCAACTCGGGCATCCCATAATATGAGACAGGAATCATCACCTACACTACAAAACTCCTGTGCACTTCAGCAGACAAATGAATTTGTCAGGAACAAAGCCAATTAGAAAAAGCCAAAACTACAACTGTCTTTTGTTGGAAATACTGATTATGGTATAATTAATATACAAGCACCAAAAAGGTATCAGCCCATGTAAAAAGGATTTACATATCAATCAAAATATCAATAAAATCTCTAAAATCCTCTATAAAATAAAAATAAAAAAAGACCTATAAACAAAAAAAAACCTTGTCAAAATTATTTTCTACCCCCTCAAAAGCTCCCTTATTTATGTCTTTCCACACCACCCAAAAATAGCAAGGGAAATGAGACAAACAAGTTTCTTGCCTCCGCTAATCCCCTTCCACGTCCAAATCTCACTGAACCAGCCATCACCCAACTAATGTCCAATAACCCATTCGCCAAGGTCCACAATTTATACACAAACAGGCACTATAGAAAGATGTGATTACATGACTACGCCTCTTTTTTACATTAAAAAACATCCATTTACCAATAATTTTCCTTCCCTTAATCAGCTTGTCAAGAGTAAGAATATACCATCAACCTACTTCCCACGCAAAGAAAACAACTATGCGTTGAGTTTTAACCTTCCAAATTTGTCAAAAAGGAAAACTCATGTCCATGGCATCCTTTTTTAATCAGATTATTGTAGAAAAACTTGAACAAGAAGGACCCTCTAGCATTGAGACTCCAAATTGATTGATAGTTACTCCCATTTATTATAACGGTAGTAAGGGTTTAGAGGAGAGTCTCACAGTCATTTACTCTAGGTTTCTCATAGGTTCCATATATCACTCCCCTCCCCCCGAAGGATATGACTTGTGGATTGAGATATTCCGATGTTGCACAATAGCATAGATCTGGGAGAATTGTTCTCTAAGTAAACTCACCTCTAAACCAGGCATCATGCCAGAAGCTAATCTTGTCCTTAATGTCAAACCTCCTGCTGATACAATCCTAGAATTTATTCCTGGCTATGCATATCTTTTTCTACGTTCCTTTCTCATGAGGTCTAGCTGATAGTCTAGTATACCACCCTCTATCCCTGGTCCCAAACTTCATCTCAATCATCCTCCACCAAAGACCACCTTTTTCATTTATGAATCTCTAAAATAACTTCCCCTATAGAGCCAAATTCTTCTCCACCAAAGATCTCAAACCCATCTGATACATAGGCTTTTCAATCTCATCCTACGCCACTAGATGATACTTTTTTGTATCCTCCAAATCGCCCCATAAGAACCTATATTGAATTGATTCTAATCTCTTGACCAAAGTCACATGGATTATCAAAAAGGACATGTAATAAATGGGAATATTGATCATCGTGCTTTTTATGTGTGAGTCTCCCAACTTTAAACAGGAAGTTTCTCTTCCATCCTACAAATTTCTCTTCCATCCTTCCAATCCCCTCTTAAACCTCACCACTACAGAGTCGTGAATTGCTACATCTTTATATTGAGCCCTCAATGATATCCCCAAGTGTTTAATTGACAAGTCTACGCTTTATACCCGAAAACTCCTACCAGGAGCATTCCTCCTAACACTCAGTCTCACCAATTCAGACTTAGTTAAATTTATATTGAGTCAAGAGACCACTTGGAAACTCAACAAAATGCATTTAAAATTAAGCATGGCCTCCTCTCGTCCAATTCACAAGATAACAGTGCCAAGTAGTAAAAAATAAATGAGTTACCTCCTCTATGCTCGCCCTCCCCACCTTTAAACCTTTAAATAACTCTAGCTCTCAACCCCTTAACAACATTTTATTGAGGACTTCCATAATAACTATAAATAGCAAAAGGACAATGGATCACCTTGTCTAAGGCCTCTGGAGGCTTTGAAAAATGATGACAAACCCCCATTCACC